CCCCCAGACGCCCACCCCGGGGAGACCCACCCCCTCTCTTCCTCAGTGTTGCTGGGCTCCATGAACCTTTTTTCTCTAGGTGAATGTCATGTAACCTAAAATGCACCATTTTGAAGCAAACAACTCAGTGACATTTAGCACATCCACAGTGTTGTGCAACCGCCGTCTCTATCTGGTTCCAGAAAGTCTGCATCACCCCGAAAGGAAACCCACAAGCCCCAGCAGTCGCCTCCCGTCTCCGCCTCCCCCACCCCAGCAGCCACTGCTCTCTGCTTCTGTGGATCAGCCAATTGGGGATTTTTTCTTAAAGACGGGCATCCCTCTGTTGCCCAGGCGGGAGGATCGCTGGCGCCCAGGAGCTCGAGTCCAGCCTGGGCAACATAGCGAGACCCCATCTCTACAAAAGATGAAGGACATCCCCCGGGTGTGGGAACATGTGCCTGGAGTCTGTTTGGGAGGCTGAGGCGGAAGGACCGCCGAAGCCCCGAAGTCTGAGGCTGCGGTGAGCCGTGAACACGCCCCTGTGCTCCAGCCCGGTGACAGAGTGAGACCCCAACTCAAAAGAGAAAGAAGTTGGCCCGAGAGGACCGGAGACCTGGCCATGGGCGGAGTCCCGGGTGGCCGCAGGCTGGCCCCGGGGACCAGGTCGCAGCTCCGGGTCCGGGGTCCAGCCCGCCCTGACTGCAGACTCGGGCGAGGATGGGGCCACCACCAGCGAGCACTTCCTGGGTTTCTCTTTCCTTCTGACTGGGCAGGGGCAGCGCTGACGCTCAGCCTTTTTCCTTTTTCAGTGTGCCTCAGCACCGTCTTGGCCTCAAGGCTTTCCGGGGTGGGGACAGGGCGGCTGGGCCTTGCGGGCCCGGAGGCTGCTGCGGGCCACGGCCTCCTCTGTGTGGGCCCGATGGGGCGGCCGGCGGCCAGACTGGCCCTCCTCCTCCTGCTGCTGTCCCGGCGAGGCGGTGAGTCTCCGGGACCGGGGCCGCCCTGGCCGGGGCTGTGGGCGGGAGGGCGCTGCCTGAGGTTGGTTTCACTTCTCTGTGCCGCACTTGTTCCCACTGTCACTGAGCCACGCACTCGTGGCTTCTGGGGTCAGGCTCAGACACCTCTCCTCCGGCCTTGACTTTCTCTTCTGTGAAATGGGCTCAATCTTTCCCCTTCCAGAATTCAGTGAAAACAGCCAAGGAAGAATACGGAGCAAACTGCGCCTCCCATGGCTTAGTGTATTATGCACAGAGCAGCCAAATATAGGCAGACACGCCTGCTACAGTGTACCCAGTCGTCTCTGGGAGTCCTCAGGGGCCTTGTCCCAGGACGCCCCACGGATGGCAAAATCCACAGATGCCCACGTCCTGATATTAAATGGCCCGGTATCCATATGACACATGCACACATCCTTCTGTAGACTTTATGTGCTACCTTTTGATTTGTGTCTCTCTCTGCCCTCCAGGCTAGAGGGCAGTGACAGATCCCAGCTCACCGCAGCCTCAAACTCTCTTGGGCTCAGGTGATCCTCCTGCTTCAGCCTCCGGGGTAGCTGGGATCACCGGCGCCACCATGCCTGGCTAACTTTTTTTTTAAGTCAGCCAGTACCCAGCTCTGACTTTTTTTTGGTTGGAGTTGGAGTCTCCTTCTGTCACCCAGGCTGGAGTGCAGTGGTACCGTCATGGCCGCTGCAGCCGTGACCTGCTGGGCTCAGGTGATCTTCCTGCCTCAGCCTTCCGAGTAGCTGGAACCACAGGCACATGCCACCATGCCCAGCTACTTTTTTAATGTATTGCAGAGACGAGATCTCGCCAAGTTTCCCAGGCTGGTCTCATACCCCTGGGCTCAGGCAATCCTCTTGCCTCGGGCTCCCGAAGTGCTGGGATGGCAGGCGTGACTCACCACAGCTGGCAACTAAAAAAAGTTTCGGAAAGGTGGGGCTTCACGACGTTGCCCAGGCTGGTCTCAAACCCTGGGCTCGAGCGACCCCCCATCTCAGCCTCCCAAAGTGCTGGGATGCCAGGCACGAGCCACCGCACCCACCCCAGGCACTTTCAGCCACCACTAGGTTACTTACAACGTCTAACACAAGGCAAGTGCTCTGGAAAGTGTTTCCTGCTGTGTTGTTTAGGGAATAATAACCAGAAAAAAAGGCTGTACGTGTTCAGCACAGCTGCGATGTTTTCTGGGTAACATTTCGATCCGTGCTTGGGAGAAGACACAGCCCACGTGTGGGATCCGGTGGGAAGCAGCCACCCCCTGCAGGGATCGAGGGTGGGACACTTTCCCAGCTCTGCTGCTGCTGCTGTGTGGCTTCGGGCCGCTCTTTGTCTCTCCGTGCCTCAGTTTCCCTCTCTGTATTCTGGGGATCCACAGGGGTTGACTCTGGATGCACTGGGTGAATGCTAAGTGCTCGGGGCAGGGTTGGCCGCACTCCAGGGCCTCCAGAGACCAGTACAGGGAGGGGGCCAGGGGCCTGGATTCCTCTGGAGTCCTGGGAGGGAAGGGGAGCTTCAGGCTCTGGGTCTGTGTCATCACAGACAGAAATAGTGGGAAGAAGCCGGGCTCGGTGGCTCAGCCTGTCATCCCGCACCTTTGGGAGGCCGAGG